CCTAAAAACTTCACAAAGTTTACCAATTTCAAGTTTCAAATGATTAGATCACATTAATGTACAACTTATACTAATGTTCTAGGTGATCATGTACCTTATTATTTAAACATTGATTAATTAGATCACATTGATTTACAACTTGTACTCATGTCCTAGGTGATCACATACGTTATTATTTAAACATTGTCTGATCATTTTTTTGGGGGGCTGCAAGGTCTCTAGTACCAAAGAACATTTGTGGACATGAATTATATTCTATATTAGATCACTTGACTAGTCACATGAAACTAGTTGCACATAAAAATTAACTCAGAGGTGCCATTGGCATTATTTAATAACAGTAGTTGTAACTTGTCAAAACTGTGATGTACAATACACTACTCTAAACAGTTATAGGATAATTAGTTTTCTTTTGGTTTGCTAAACTTACTTTGAATACATTTGGTTTCACTGTTATTTGTTTGAGAATAGTATTAGCTGTTCTTAAAAAGTTTTAGTTGACAGTTACAAGTATTATGTAAGAACAAATTGCTGAAATCTTTTAAAATATTTCTTACCTTTCTATAGTTAGTTTATTGCTTCTCAGTACTTTCATATAAAAACTTGATTCTTTTTTAAACAAACTTTTTAGTTTTTAAAAACTGTTTCCAGCATCTGATGAAAGTGAACTATGATGTGGTGAAGAGATGGGTTAACGAAGTTCAGGAAGCTGTGAATACAGATGATGTTATGGTACAGGTGAGCCATTACATACATATACACGAGCTGTCGAAAGGCAGTGCTGTAACTGGTTAGCTGAGAAATGATCATTGGGTTATAGGTTTTTTGGCATACTCTTAACTTCTTTTTGTATCACAAGAAAAGAAATGTATTTTCAGTTTTAGTCAAATTTGAGTTTAAACCATAGTTTGTTTGGTATTAAAACAAAATCATTATATTAAATATTAATTGCAGAATTATAGCTGAAATTAAAAACATTAATAGACATATTTAATTGTAAAATCAGTACATCTGTAAGTACTTCTGGTCCTAATTCTTTTCTTTTCTTTTTTTAAGTATCATGCACTTGGTCTCTTATACCACCTTCGTAAGTGTGACCGTCTTGCTGTATCAAAGTTGGTGGCGAAATATGCTCGTTCTGCCCTCAAATCTCCATATGCTGTTTGCATGTTGGTGAGTTTTAAAGTTTTTTCTGTCATTGGACTGAAACATGTCCATGATTGTGCATCTACGTGTGTTTGTGTAATTTTTAGAACTTCTATACAGCTTACTTGCATTTTCTTAAAATTTTTAGTACAAATTTTTTGTTTTAATTTGTTATTGAGACTTCACATGATTGTTTTAAATGTTTTTTAATTTACTTAATCCTGTCATTTTAATTTCTTCCAGATTCGAATTGCCAGCAAACTGATTAGAGATGACGATGCAGGGTATTATTCTTTTTTTGAATAATGTCTTAAGATTTAAAAAATGTACATGTGCATGTATGTGTTTATCCTTAAATTGTTAACTTAAAACACTGTCCACAATGTGTTTGAAGTTGTTTGCAGATGGTTACTTTCATTTACCACAAAAAGCTTTCTCTTTTGATTTCTGATTTACAGGCTCAGTTTCTGTGACTGTCCTCATAACCATTTTGTGCTTGTTGTATTTTTCATGCTATGACATTTAATACAGTATGTGTATTTTCAGGAAATTTGGCAGACTTTTAGTTAACATTACAAGTCTTTTTGTATGCAAAAAATCAGATTTTTTAATGAAGTATGTTTACTAAAGATTTTTCTATGAATATACATAGTATTTTTGTATACTAGTCTGAGTGCAAATTGATTTTCATGCTCAGATTAAAAATACTTTCTTCATCTCAAAAATTTCAAATTTTTTGTATAATCTCTAAAACCCCCTTAATAAACTTCAACCTTTTTTTCAGTAAAACTTTATATTTTATCTGTTATTTTCTGTACCATAACTTTATACCAGGTTGTTCAAATTTCACTGAGCTTGTTACCGCCAAAAAAAATCTAAATTACCCTTTTTTTCTTTCTAGAATGACTTCAAATTGTAATATGAAACTACATTTGTTTATCCTAAATAGCTTTAAACTCCTAACAGTATATGTCTATGTACACTTAAATTTTATTGTCTTAAAAGCTGAGGTACCTGTCCTTTGTCTGGGTTATGAAATTTAAAAATTTGGGGGTGGATGCTATGATAAATTGATAAATAACACAAAAAATCTAACTTTCATACAATTTATTTTTTTATATATTATTACAGTACTCATTATTACCTCACCAAAAGTTTTGTATAAGGTTTAAGAATTCAATATGTATATACTTAAAACATGGTATACACTATGCAATGGTCAGGGTGACTTTAAAGGGAGAGGTCGTGGCCAAAAAGTGGCAGTAGGAGGTGCTTTCTGTTAGCTGCTTTCAACACCCAGCTCTTAATGTCATTTCACAGTGTTTCACATGATTAATTAATTGACAGTCATTAGCTGCAGTAGTGTCTTACGGGCCAAAGTTGAAAGGTCATGGGTCAAAGTAGGAAGTGGGTATAACTCAAGAAACAGCTTTTCATATCAGCCTTATGATAGCTGTTGGAGTAGAAACTTCATCTGAGTTTATGTATTATTGCTATCGTGGTAGCCATTTGTTTCATTGCATTCCTCCATAGAGTGTGCTATCGCACTCTCTGAGATATACAAGACATTTGTGTGCCCTCCACCCACACTGTATATGTTGTTTTATAGAAAATTGAATAGTTTCTTTGTTTTTTGTGTAAGAATGTGGCACCATCTATGAATATAATTAATGTTGACTTATGTCAAAGATAATAAATGTTTGATAACAGCAATAGTGGAGGATGTAGGGGGTTATGACCCCTCCCCCATTAGCATGCTTCTTTTTCTAAACTATCATCCCACAAAGTTTGGTTGAAATTGGCTAAGTGACCTAGTAGTAGTTAGATAATAGACAAACAGACAGACTCAAAGATTTTTATGCTTTATATATAGAGTGCCCTTTGAATCTTATTTAACTGCTACTTGCACCACTATAAGATGTAATTCACTCGATGAATGTGCATCTCACATTACGCTATCAAATTACATTACAATCGTGAGCAAACCTTGTGAAAATTTTTTATTATATTACCAGCTGGAGTATCTATCCCCTGAATGGAAGTTACGTAAATTCATGATTAATGGAAGGTTATCTTAGGACATGGAAAGATGTTTCTATTATATGTTGTTTTAAAAATTCAAAAACATCCATAAAAAATGCACAACACAAAATGTGAAGCTGCAACTTTGCATGTATCTGTGCATGGACCCAACAAACCTTCATGTCGAATTTGGTAAAGATTCATGTACAGAGGTGAAATAGTGGTAAAAAACGCCCATAAAAACTGCAAAATTCAAAACTAAAAATTTGTATGTACTCCTACGTGGACCTAATGAACCTCCATACCAATTTTGGTGAAGATCCATCCACATCCTGCAAAGTAGTTACATAGACAGACAGTACTATTATATTTATATAGATTATTTATTTCACCTAATCAAACCTTAACTAACAAAAAATTTCATATTTTTACATTTTAGTTACTACTTTTATTATAATAATAAATAAAGAATACCCAGGAAAAACATGAAAAAGTACTTACCCTGGTCTTCTTTGTTTTTGTTGATTGTCAGTGACACTTAACCATACTTTTTATACTAATAGTAGTTGTGCACTAAATAATTTTTTATATGATTAAATAATACAACAAAGAACACGGAATAATAATGTGTGAAAAGCTGACAATGTCCCATAACTATCACAATTTTTCTGGGTTTCTAACTATGCAACAAGAGTTGTTAGGAATTCAGCTAAGCTCTTGGGAGTAAAGGTTGAACCTGAAGAGAAGCTGTCAAATCTATACAGAAAACAATGTATTTTAAAATAAAGTGATTTTAAATTCATTCTATATTAATGAGACCTGTAAAGAAGTATTTCAGATCCAAATCCAAATGAGTTATCAGAGTTAGGCTATTTTAATCAAGGATGTGTGCAGTTCCTAGTGGCAGAGCAAATAAGATTTTGGGTTGTATCTACAGAAATATTGAATGAAAATCTAAAGAGTTTATAATTTCATTGTATAGGTCAATGGTTAGGCTACATTTGGAGTAATGTGTTCAGTTTTATACTCTGTACTTTAGGAAGGATATTGAGTTGTTGGAAATGATTCAGAGGAAGGCTACAGTTATGAATTAAGGCAAGGAAGGTGTCATCTTCAACTAAAACAGCTTTATTTTTTAACAAGGTAGTTGGCCTTTGGAATGGGCTACCTTCTAATGTGGTAGATGCAGAGTAAATTTAAGGGAAAGCTTGATAAGTATGTGAATGAGAAAGACTGGTTTTGAGTTGTGTATATATATATTTTTGTGGATGGGACAGCCTAGATGGACCAACAAGTCCTTTGCTATTCTTAAATATTACATTAAGTGTTATGTATAGATCAGTTTTAGCTTATTTTTGTTTTCTATCCTGGTAGTTATTATTTACACCTTTATGTATGAAAACATTTTTTGAGTTTCAGGTTTCATTTTATTTAACTTTTCTTAGGTCCAACAGTCCTTTGTTTGAGTTCATAGAAAGCTGTCTAAGGCACAAGAATGAAATGGTTATATATGAAGCAGCTCATACTATTGTTAACCTGAAGTCAACAACACCACGTGAACTGGCACCTTCCATCTCAGTCTTGCAGCTTTTCTGTAGTTCTCCGAAGCCAACACTTCGATTTGCTGCTGTCAGAACACTGAACAAGGTAGGGTATACTTTCAGTGTTTTGTTAGTAAACTGTATTGTATAATTTATCTTAAACCACATTTAGAAATGAGTATTGAAGAAGAAAGCTACTTGTGTTCATAGAAATATGAAGAACATTCATAATGCTCATTTATCTCAGTAGACTTTAACATGTAAGTAAATGAACCCCAATATAACACACTAGACAGTAGGGGTGGCTTAATAAGTTTTCTTTGGTCAAAAGACATGGTAGAACGTATTTGAGAATAAATTGGTATATTATACTTAGGTTGCACATGTCCAAGCAAATGTACTGCTATTCCAGTACTTCAAGCTGACAGCTAGTGTTTCTCTGTTCCCTAATAAAGGTATATTATTATTTTAATTAACAATATTGATCATACTTTTTAATATTTAAATGTAATTACTGGTTTTTTTTTATTAATTACTGGTATAGCACTATTATAAAGATTGTTTTGCATTGTTAACTTAATATATGTACTTAGCATTAACCTAAATCTCCTAAATTGGCCAAACCTTGTGGGATACTTAGATTATGGTGAAAAATATCATTAACTTGTGGTCTGATGAAACAGTTCTTTCTAATTATAAGTAGAAATGTAACAGAAGTTTACGTAATTAGCTTTTCTTTGCTAGGTTCCAAGAGATATTGTAAAATCTTAAAATGCTTATCTACAACATAAACTTTTATTAACTATGTTTCAGGTATATGCTCATCATTAGGCTTAGCTGTTAAAATTACAAAATATAAAGAATGTTTAGAATTTGCAATAAATATACTGGTAGCTAGAGTTCATGCAAAGAGTGGAACGTGAGGTACATATACAGCGATTAATGAGATAGAAAACATTGTATATACTGGCTTAGTCATACAACAGTTAAGTTTAAACTATTACATGATTGTAAGAATAAATAAATGACCTAATAAAATAGAAAGAATTAAAAAAATTAATATTTATACAGAGAAGTGGGTGAGTAGTTGTTACATTTGTGAAAGACAAATTCATAAGAGATATAGATGGAAGCTGTGATTACATAAAAGAGAAACTTTGATTTATACCATTACTTGTCAAAGAATATAATTTGATTATAAGTTTGTGTTCTATGATTTCACAATCAGATTTGTAGTGGGGGTATGTTGTGAAACAAGTACACTTGTGTCATTAATTTCGTTGTGGTCTGGAGAGTAGCTAGTAAAAGACTTTTTCTGTTCTACAGTGCAGTTTGCCAAGTTGAATTTTAGCTTCACTCTAAGTGCATAGTTTGCTCTGATCAGAAGTTAATTTTAGTTTTCACTGTTATTGTAAACTGAAAATAACTAATGTTTAATTAGTTTTAAGCTATAATGATTATTGGCAACTGACTTATTAATTATCTTGTATAGTATTAAAAAATAGAGTACATAATTATTTTTTGTACATTATTTTGAAAGTTAAGGCTATGTGTATTTTATTGGTCACCAGGTGGCCATGTGTCATCCTGCAGCAGTTATAGCTTGCAACATGGATCTTGAAAACCTTATCACTGATGTTAACCGAAGTATCGCAACACTTGCAATCACAACTCTGTTAAAGACTGGTAGTGAGAGTAGTGTTGAAAGACTAATGAAACAGATCTCTAGCTTCATGTCAGAAATATCTGATGAGTTTAAAACAGTGGTCGTTCAGGCTATTAGGTAAGGTTTAGTCAGGGTTGAATCTGTTAATATAAATTATTTATAAAAATAGTGTCTTGTAAAATAGTGGTGGTTTAGGCTATTAGGTAAGGTTTAATCATATTCAATGGCATAACCCAATGATTCATTTAGAAAGGGTTTATTTTCAGAGAGTAAGATTTTATAGGCTAAGACCTTATTATTTCTACAAACAAGTAGCAGTTGAGAAGGTAATGAAGATATGAATATAAAGTTATAGTACTTTTAGTATCAAAATATATTTGAGAACATTCAGCTATATACAGTCATGATTCCGTTTATAGATCCCTCTGTCAGAAGTTCCCACGTAAACACAACATCATGATGAACTTTTTATCATCAATGCTAAGAGATGAGGGAGGTTTTGAGTACAAGAAAACTATTGTTGATACCATCATGTACATACTTGAAGATAATCAAGAAGCCAAAGAAGCTGGTCAGTAAGATATTCAACACAACTGATAGTTAAGATTAAGCTGGTAATTAAAATGTTCAATAGAACTGATAGTGAAGGTTAACCCGTTATCTGCCGTGGCCATTTTGATCTTATGGTGAGGGCAAAATCACATTTGTGAATTGAAAAAATTATAGAGAACTTATCTTTTATTGGATTTCAGATTTTATTTTTGTGAATAGTAGCATAACATTTAATTATTTGTACAAAATTGTATTATTTAATGAAGTTTAAAGAGGAATTTAATGAAAAAAAAAATAATCCTAAAATGCGTTTTAGACTGTAAATAAGTGCCCTCTAAGAAGAAAATGTTTTTCAAAATTTTTTTAAAATATTTCCTTCCACTTCAGCACTGGTCCTGCCATCTATGATTGGTATCTAAACCTTTTTCTAGTCTGTTTTCTTTATAAAATAGTGTCTGGGCGTGTTAAGCCTCAGTTGTAAAACTTTTAGCCAGTCCTAGTTGAAGGTGTCAATTTCAGTACCATGTTATTCCAATTGCTGTATCTGACGTTTGACAAATCATAAGATGATACGGAAAGCACGTGACGAAACATTGTTCCCTGGATTTTAAAATATGAATGTGGGTGGTGCTTATTATAGTAACTGCCATTTTCTGTAGAGGTTGTATTTACTACTGGCTAATAGTGCTTTTCTATAAGCGTTAGAAACTTGCTTCTGGAAAACT